GAGATGGTTATGAAACGACAACAATTCCAGCACTAGATTTTTGAGGAGACGGGTTGCTCAACCAGTGTAACTAAGTACTTTTAACGAGTGACTTTCCTTGGTCCTTCCCTCTCCTGCAGGACTCGTGCTCCTCTGGGACTCGGCTCCCCGAGTTAGAGAATCCCCCGTGTCCTTCCCGCTTCCCAGGTAGAACCACTTCTGTGGTGGTCTCAGGTGCGAGAGCCGCATCCCCGATTTCACGCCCTGTGTCCCCATCTTCCCCAAGCTGTCCCCCAGTTTACCCACACTGCTTTGAATGACATTTTCTCTCCAAGTGAAGGAGGATAGTAAATAGCTAACACATAGTAATGCCTAAGATCCAGCCCTGGTTTTACATATGTTAGGTCCACCGATCCTCATGCATCCCTAACAGGCAAGTTAGTATTATTATCTGGCTTGCAGGTGAGAAAGCTGAGCAGAGAGGAATGTAAAATTCTCCCAGGTCACCCAGTAAGAGGCAGAGCCTGGATTTGAACCCAGGCAGCCCCCGTTCCAGAAATCAGACATTTAACCAATACACTACATGCCTTGCAAAGACCTCTAAACACTCCAGTTCAACAGTGAATAACTGTTTCAACATATTAAAAGGTCCCACAAGTTTCCTCTACATCTCAAATCAAGTGGGCGCACGCTGGACGGTTAGATTCAAGGCTCATGGGAGCAAGTCCTGCTGGGCCACAGGGCCGGCTCTGAGGGAGGCCTGCCCGAGCCTGGAGCCTGGGACTGGAGCCTGGAGGCCGAAAGGGAGCCAGCCAAGGAGCCTTCCCTGCCTTCCTCACATTGCCCCTCCCCCTTTTCTGTCCTAGCTGCGCCTACAGTGACCGTGTATCCCGCCAAGACCCGGCGCCTGCAGCACCACAACCTCCTGGTCTGCTCTGTGAACGGCTTCTATCCAGGCCACATTGACGTCCGCTGGCTGCGGGACGGCCAGGAGCAGGAGGCGGGGGTCGTGTCCACAGGCCTGATCCGGAATGGAGACTGGACCTTCCAGATCCTGGTGATGCTGGAGACAGTTCCCCAGAGCGGAGAGGTCTACACCTGCCAAGTGCAGCACCCAAGCCGGACGAGCCCGCTCACCGCGGAATGGAGTGAGATGTGCTCGGACTCGCCCGCCTCACCCGCCACAGGGGACTCTGCTTATCCC